AGTGTGAAGTCTGTCAGCTGAAGTTATTGAAAAGATGAAACGTGCGCTCAAAAACCGCTCCCGAAGCTAATGTTAATCGCTCTTGGCATTGATCACGATGCCAAGAGATAGCGCAATGTTGTCAGGGTTTCTCTGAGGTGTGACGTGCTCGCCGTTCTGAATGCAGAAATGAACTTGCCGGGTACCGCTGAGACAGCACGAGAACCGCTGCGTATCGATAGCGTCCAGATCACCCCCTGGCCCGGCCGCAGCAGGAGGCACGGTACCACCTCGGCGGCGCCGGCACGGCAGGCACCGCGCCGGGCGTCGCTGGTGCCGCGGTGAGGGCTGGCTGCTGGAAGGAGCGGCGCGGCAGGCGCTGGACCAGCCCGGATAGCTGTGACTGGCGGCGCTGGTCGGAACCCGAGTGACGTCAACGGAAGTGTGGTAAGCCCAACAGGATCTAGCTTAAGGTCAACAGGATTTAGCCTCAGGACAACAGGATTTAGTTTCAGGTCAACAGGATCTGGCTCCACGCCAATAGGATCTAGCTTAACATCAGCAGGATTTAGCTTCAGGTCAACAGGATTTAGCTTCAGTTCAACAGGATTTAGCTTCATGTCAACAGGATTTAGCTTCGGGTCAATATGATTTAGCTTCAGGTCAACATGATTTAGATTCAGGTCAACAGGATTTGGCTTCAGGCCAACGTGATCTGGTTTCAGGTCAACGGGAATTATGTCCAGGTTAAGGATATCTCTTATTTTACAAGGTCCTGTGCATCAGGTCACCGGTAGCTGGGTTCAAGTCGACAAGAGCTAGAGTTGGGTTAGGTCATCGACAGGAGCGCTCGGTGCAGCCGACAGGCCAGAGTGGAAGAGAAGTTTAACTCTGCACTGCGGATGTTGACACCCATGGGATGATTGAATGATGAATGATCAGCTGGTGGGATGATGAGAGTCGGAGAGAGATTTTGAACATGATGGAACCACTGGCTACAGGGGGCAGGGTGACATATCCCCTCAAATTTCCCAAAAATGGGACTTGGTCTTTCGGGCGGGTTTGTACAATGTGCGTTGTTCACGTTTACCAACCAAAGACAGCACATCCAACCAGGTTGTTAACCCATATTTCAGGCCCTTCCAATCCTGATCTGTTCTCATGGAATGTTTTGTGATGACAGCAATACCTGGCAGCATCTGGCAGCCACACCTAAAGAATACCTCGAAACACATGAAAGCTGAGGCCAACGGCAATTCCACATCGCGGGGGCTGTGTCGGGCGGCGGATTGGCAGGTGGTTTGTTTATTTATTTTTTTCTAGGTGGTGGCCGTAAGAAAAGCTTTGGTGGACTTCTTGACATACGGAACGTAGCGAAAGCCAGCTTTTATGGCATATTATTAACATCAAGGCACGATATACTGTGCTGTTGTTGTTGCTGTTGCTGCTATGCTGTTGATAATTGTTTTGTCAATGCTGTATCGTCGACACATCATTGCCTGCTGGGCTGTAGCCCTAACATTGATATCATGTGATGTGCACAGTAGTTGCTTGCTTTATTGTATATAACTGGAAATGTGGTGTCATCCAAAACTTAATAAATATGTAACGTTGTTATGAACGGATTGCCAAAGCGTTGCTATTGCTATGGTAAAATGGTAAGGTTGGGCTACCAAAATGTTCTTCCTGCTCAGGATTGTTTATGCAGTTAAAAGTGAACCCTTGTATAACCATTGTGATGCAATGCTATTTTGGCTGTTGATAGTCCTTTGGCATTTTAAATCAGTTATTACCAGTCATTCATAAATTTGGCATTTAGCTGCTGTTTCATAGGTTTGACAAAGTAGTCAACCAATGTGGTACATTGTGTAATGACACGCGTCAACAGTGTCATTGTGGCACTACCTCAGTGCTGTACCGTGGCATGACATAATGAAGCAACAATATGTTTTGTTTTTTTGTACTGCAATCCCTGCTGCTTTCATGATAAGTTCCATCATACAAAGATGGGTCAAGCATGCACTTAAGTATTGACTTCCCATATGACGTATGACTGATCAAAACCACATGAAAAATTATACAAATCAATTTCAGCAAAGCAGGCAACCAATAAGTGACATCACTTGCTCAGCCTGTTTTGGGAATCCACAAAACGTAAGTGACAAAGATGCAGGCACATCTTCCACTTCCATGGCCTTGCAACGTGCTGCAGCCATTGGGCTGCTTTACTAAAAATTAACAGGACAATTTTACATGTGGTGAAATGACACTGGAAACATGCTGACCTTGCACAATGCAACGAAGTGATGAAGCTGCCAGTGCACACTAGGCTCAAGATAAAAATATATTTAAGTGCTATCCAAGACACCAACAGCAATACTTTTCCACCTTTATCAGCACCCAGCATCTCACACAAGTTGTAGTGACTATGACATTGATGACTCAAAGTGCTCACGCTTACGTTCGCGACACGCATTCAGCAGCGAAATCTAGCTAACAGACAATTATCTTCCGCGCATCGTATCATACGTGCCGCATCATCGCTTTTGCGAATGTATCAGCGGCCATGCTGTTTTGACCATAAGCAGAAAGCAGCCTGTAGTTTTAACGCGATCGCACGACGTTTCTATGACGTCATTAATGCCAAGGCGATTTTGAAATAGGCTCCCAATAAACCTTTTTGCACTTTTGCGGGCGTCTAGTTCAGAAACCAAAGCGCTTTGGGTCCTAAAAAGTAAAAAAGGAAAAAGACCGTGAACTGTATCAAAAAGTCCTCAACGTGGCCACGTAAGTTCAAAACCCCATACAGATGTAGAGCATTCCCTTTAATCGTTACTTGGCACGACAACGTCGATTAACCAGCACCTCCTGGAATATTGAAGGCCCCGATGAACTTTAACGTTCACTTCACCTTGACACGACATGTGAACTTCCAAGTCACATTGTCGAAACACCAACAACTAAAGCAGCCCTATCGTAAGTACGCTGATGGCAAAACCACTCTTCGGCGTGGTTTTTCTTCTTGCCCGTAAAGCTGATGTGTTGAAGGTCTGCTTTTCCCAGATCTGTGAACCAAATTCTATCACACCAATCACGATGAACCCAGAACCGCACGAAATATTGTTTGGTTGTCTCCAGCCGATCCAATGCCCTTTTTACAGAAGTCAACCCTCGCGGCGTGCTGGGTCAAAGCTTTCGTGCACGGTACGCCGTAATTTTCCGACATCCGTAGCAAGTCCTTGTGGTCTCAGTGGCTCAATCGATGACGTGCCGGGTCCACATTGAAAAAATTGTGTTCGAAGGCGCGGTGTAGAATTTTTGCTGCCAGCTGCTAAGATATTTCCTATATGCTGAATTATAATTTCATTTATGCTGATAGGCACGTTCTAAGCAAATAGTGTATAGATGTCGTAGCACCTTTCTCGGCGAGACGTTTTTGCTATGGTGGCATCGAAGGGCCGTGAACGCCGGCGCCAAATGACGAAGCATCGAAGTTCCGATCCAGTTGTCTCCAGTTCGGAACAGAAAAGCATGAGATGGTCCCGCCTTGTGCTGCTAACTGTCATGGTTTCTTTTCTAACAGGCCAGCTAAACATATGTCGGCGATGGCGTCTGTAAATGGCATGCTGCCATCTCTTTTATTTGGCTTTTCCGTCATCATAAATATCTACCATCAAGACGCCTTTTGTAGCGTGGGGGTGGCCAGGCGATAGCACACACGACTATTGTCACCATGTAAGTGGTCCCACAAAAAGCGAATGGAGTCCGTTTTTTGTCGCCATTGGGGCCTTACGACACACATTTGAAGCTACATGATGTCACCCGCCTTTCACCCGGGCAGGAATGCATGGCATCATTAGGAGCCTGGGCGTATGACACGAATGGAGTCCGTCGCTTTTGGAACCCGTACGGATAAGACCAGACAAAGCCCTGCACGTTCCATTGCCACTGTAGATGAATTTAGAATAGCTTATGTATTTGGTTGCGGTGACGAAAAACTACTGATCCGGTCACAACAAACTAAGATGCGAGTCTGTGCAGTTGTCCGTGCCCGATCTGCAGCAGATGAGAGCGCCGGATGCTGTGTTTGGTACCAATTTCCCAAAAAGGCGACTGGCTGCTTACCGATCTGTTTACTAGCCAATCGGAAAGAGGTGAGCCCAGCTGATGATTTGTGGACGGTAGGTCCATACTGTGTACAGTAAAATCAGCAGCACACCATGTTGCTGATATTACACCTCTACCTGCTTAAACTGCAAGACCCAATAATGCTTGCGAATGTTTACGGGCAGATTGCGCGTTATGGTTAAAACGCATCTATATTCATCTTGCACTAGTAACATTTCTTCTTATTTAATGTGACGCTATTTCACTCCAATAAAATAACTGATAACTGAGGCTGAGCTTTGTTTCTGCCTAGAGTTCCCAAGCTTTCGCACGATTGGAAGCTTCCACGTTTCACCTGTTAATCCAGCGAGGACGCGAAACAGAAGTCGTTTTATAATGCTGTATGAATGTACCATCTGATGAAACAACTTGCAATTACGTCGATTTAAAATGCTACCTCACAATTCCTAGCCATCTTTCTGCTGGTCTCCGAAAGCTTCATGTGTGTGCGATTAGTGGTTAAAAGAAAACACAGTGGCTACAAAGACCGCCCAAAACGGGACTTATTAGGCACGGTCGGGCTGCTGAAGTCAAACAGTTTGCGGTCAGTAGATTTTAACATTCTTTTCGCCTGCGATGTCGCTCATTCGCAGGCCATTTTCCCGTTTCTGGATAGAACTTGCAATGTTAAAAGGGTCCAAAAGTCCCGAAACCTCCTCTTCCCTCGTGGCTGGGGCCGACAGGTGACTGTCATCTTGCAAGGAAGCCTCGAGTCCAAGCCGACTCGACTCAGACAAGCAAAATGTCTGCCTACAACTTTGAATATCACCCTTCCCATGTGCTATAATCCTCCGTCGATAAAAACAACGAGTTCAACGCTGCCCTGCGTAGGAGTTTCAGATGTTGCCATCCTTCATTCACCTAGAGGGCTCTGCTGCATTTGCTACAGCGTTTGGATAGGTGGCGCTGCCAGCGCCAGACAGTCAAAAGTGCGCTACGCCCGCTCGCATCTGATTTGTGGACGCCAGGCATTTCAGTTGTTCTTTTGAGTCATACATTTTCGGGTCAGTTTTTCTAAAAAATGGTGACGACGCTGTTTTGTAATGTCGCCCATTCATAATTATGTGTTGCACGGTAGTAAGCACACAACTTACCTTAGTAGCTCATACTGTTTCTGCGCACTAACAGGAAACATGCGTCAGGATCTGGATCAGCCATAGCCTACTCAGTCGTGTAATTACAATCTGTTAAGTGCAAGTATCAAAATAGTATGCCGATTAACAGGCTCAAAGTGAAGAAATACTGATTTATGCGAAGCCAATCAAAGGTCAACAACAAGGCGCGGAACTGGACATCGATGAATGATAATCTACTGCTGACGCCAGAAACGCGTAATAAAATGTTACAGTGATGCGTACAAAAACAACACGATCTGATGATGCTTATTTAACGGCAAGATCAACTCAATTCGGGGCTTCCAGTCTTTCCACGCCAAACCGCCACAAAGCCATGGGCGAGCTTCAGACAGAGAGCCTACCAACCACGGCGATATCCTGCTATTCATTCCCAAACGCCACGTGCCCTCCGCTTCACTGGATTGAAAAGGCAAGTCGGAGACTGAGCGTCTCAGAGTGTCTGGCCGCCGCGCTGTCACCGGACCGCCAGCGCCGGCCGGCCTCGTCTCTAGCGCGAGTAGCCGCACGTACAGCAGGTCCGCTCCCGCAGCAGGAACAGGCAGATCAGGCCCACCGGGAACAGCACGATGGCCCAGAAGACGCCGCAGCAGGTGAAACTCTCCTCCATGATGCCGGTGTTGCAGACGGGGCAGCGGAACGGCACGAAATCGTGCTGCCCGCCGCCGGCCACTACCACTGTTGTGCTGGACGTGTTGGACGTGTTGGACGTGTTGCTGCTCTGCTGCTGCTGTTGCTGCTGCTGACCTGCGAATAGGGCCGCTGCTGGGTGAGCAATTTCAATAACTTGACTGTGTCTTATGAAAGTAGTCACGTACCCTAATATGATAGCAAACTATTATAGCAAACTATTACCAGTTCTAGCATTGGCAGGAACTATGAGCCAGTTGTGGTAGTTGTAAAAAAAAAAATAAAGCAACGATAACCATATCACAAGTAGAAGTAAAATGAACATAGTAACTCCAGGATAGAACGGATCATCACTTGTGACTGCGACCACAGATTCGACACCCGGATTCTTATTTCGTGCTGCTCTAGAAACTGGCGCTCAGAAATATGACGCCGGTCGTCCAGACAGCGCCGGGGAAATATTTGTGCACCGGGCGGGATTCGAGCGAGGGTTCCCAGTCACCATGCCAGCCGTACCGGGAGGGAGTGTATTCTGTTACGGTATGAAATGCTAGAAGGCTGCTTGTAACAGTTAATCTATTTTGTTCTGATGGCTTCCACCAGCGGTTTTTGGGATCGGAATACTTTCTAAACACAGTCCGCTTTGTGCGCTTGCCCCGCAACAATCGCTCAAATTAGTGGCTTCACTTAACTTTCACCTTCACTTCAATGCATATTTTGTACGACAGGCTTACAATAGTCATTGAACCACCAGCGAGTGTTTTCAATTCCTCGATTCTATGTCGCTCACGTGGCACGTCATGGATCATGCAGGCGACACCGTTAACCCACCACAGCCTGTCTCTGCAATACAACTACGACAGCTACTAGCAATAGGCTTGTTAGCCAGTCAGGTGTTCTAAGTGGAACTTGTCCACATATTACGCTCTTTTATGGGCGGGGTTTTGACCCTCTGTTCCCTGATAGTCTTTCCACTATGAGCACAAAGTGATCCTTTCCGCAATGATACTTTCCGAATATTTCCAGTGCTCAATCAGAGATTGCCATATCAAGCCTATATTGCTTTACTGCTACCTTACGATATCACCACCTCCAAAGGCAGTGCATCACCAGTCTCTCACCCATCATCATCGGAGCCATCATAATGGGAGGCTGACCCATCGGCGGGGGCGGTGCGTAGGCTGGCGGCGCGTAGGACGGCTGCGGTGGCTGGTAGCCAGGCGGCCCCCCGCTCGGAGGAGGCTGAGGTCCGTTCTGTGGTGGCTGCATTCTATCTGTGGGCTAGAAAAGACGACTCCAACTATGTGGGGGCTTAAGGCGTGAGCTATTGTTTCAATATTCGCAGGTATGACTTGAGACGATAAAATTGTTTTCATTTTCACAGGCATGAATTGAGGCGCGCAAGCCCGAATGATGTGTTTTTATAAATGTCAAGTTCAAATAATAAAAAATGTCTCGTCATTTGAGTTGTTTGAACAGCTGGAATATGCAGTCCCGGCACCGACCCCCCCCCCCCCCAAAAAAAAAACAACAACAAACACCCGAAATGACAGTAGCAGCACGGGTGGAGTAAAGGCGATGGCAACCAGACAGAGACAGAGGCAAAAACACACAGACACAGATATAGACACAGACACAGACACAGACACAGACACAAAGACGGAGACGGAGACGTAGACGTAGACGTAGACGTAGACGTAGACGGAGACGGAGACGGAGACGGAGACGGAGACGGAGACGGAGACGGAGACGGAGACGGAGACGGAGACGGAGACGGAGACGGAGACGGAGACGGAGACGGAGACGGAGACGGAGACAGGAAAAGGGACAAGGACAGAGATAGGGCAGGGGCAGAGACAAGGACAAGGACAGAGACGGATACAGGGACAGAGACAGAGACGCAGAGAGAGAGAGAGACGAGAACAGAGACAAAGACAGAGACAGAGACAGAGACAGAGACAGTGACAAAGGCAGAACAGATTCAGAGAACGAGGGCGAGAGAGAGGAGTAGCAGAAATAGCGAGAATGACTTGCAGATGAACAAGAGCCCAACTTCATCTCAATGGCATCAGACTCAAGAACGTAGGGTGAATCCCGATCTCGAGTCATACTGGTGCTGAACCTTTTCAACCAACCCGTTCTTGACTTAAGGTGACAATACAAAGAGATGAGATGAGAAACTTTGTTTATATTCAGATCGAAAGGTTAACTTCAGTGTATTGTTGATTCGAATGTGTTCCGATTTCACTGGCATCAATTTCCACTCCACCAAGTTGTTTTCGCAATCGGCCCCATGTTTAAGCAAAGAGATACCAAATATATATTTATTGATTAGATCCGCGTGAGCTCGAGTGATATTCTTGAGCCGAATTTTTCTTGACAATAGGTTCTATTGAGCCTTGAACTTTGTACAATTTGCATTTTGAATACATCTTATTAGTTCAGTACTTCGAGCTAATCCTGGTTTTACTCAATTGGTTTGCTTCAAGGAAGTTCTCATTAGCCGGAGTTCGCTGAAGTCATTCTGAGACCTTCTTAGTATGATTGAAGCTTTACGGCACTGAATAATGGGTCAAAGGTCGCATTAGCCCAAAGCGTTGTTTGTTTTTTCGTCTGTTTAGCGTTTTTACAATTTGGGTGGCTTTGGTCAAATAGTAATGCGCCAAGGCAAACACTGGGGAGAAGGGGGGGGGGGGGGGAGGGCGTTCAAGACACCTTCCGATGGAAACGAACACTCTTCCGTGTCGCCCAGGCAATGTCAGATACAACGAGCAGTTTCTTATAGACTGCTACATCTTCCCGGTATACTCTCGTATTCGCAAGCGGAAGGGAGTCCGGAAGTGACCAGGCTTACATGCCTCACCAGGAATTCGGGGATGTTTTCCTGAGATTTTTTGTAGACGTCTTTCCAGGCGTCTCCGCTCACAGGCTGTGCACGCACAGTCTGACAGCAACCTGATATGTCCGTGTCTGAAGTTGTTAGACACGTTTTAACTTTGGGATCGAATTCATTTGACTTTGACTTGACCTCAGGATGGAGTGAACAAAATTGACTTTGTGATTCACCAACGCAATATTGTCTGATCATTGTGAAGTAACAATGCATCTAGGATATTACATGCATTCGCTAGTGCGTTCTGAGTACTTATTCACTAAATTGGCGTAACGGTTTTAAGTAGCTATTGGTCACAAGTAGCCATTGATGTCCACTTCGATCGCAGTCTTTCAGCTTATCGTAAATGCATACTCACAGCTCGGCTCTGCTCCTATGAGGGTCACGTAGAGGGTCACTGGTTGGCCCGTTCCACGCCCCACCCACGCAGGTCACGGAGCACCTCTGGCCGCGCTGACACAGGGTCAGCGCCCCGGGCGCAGGCGGGCCGGCCGGCATGGACGGCAATGGCGTATTCAGCAACTCAGGTTTGGGGGCAATTGAGCCGAGAACTGTGGCATTTTGGCCTTAGCATGGAGTTGGTGTGGACTGAAGGGAAAGGAAAGTGGTGCTGGTGTCTTACTTTATCTGTGTTAGATTCATATTTAGATGTGTGCTCATGAAGTATTCGCAGCCATGGTGGCTCTTCGCCAGACACGTTATCCAATGTCGGTTTGTATGTTTGAGCTGTGTATGTGTCTCAGCAAGTGACCTGATCTGCGGTGAGCGGATCGCCCGCTGAGGGCCTGACTGCGGCTTTGTAGGCATGCGCCCCTTCACCCCCCCCCCCCCCCCCCCCTCCCGTCCGCCAGACTTCTTATGCTTCTTCCCATCCGGAGCAAGCATAAATGACGCATGAAAGCATCGGGTTGAGAACTTCATGGGTTCGAAAAGGCCATGGGTGCATGGGTATCATGGGAAAGGTTAACAAGCTGAGGTGATGACATATTTAGGGAAAATGGCGGGTATTTGCACGAGTATACATCGCATGACTTTACGAAACCCCGGGTAGGTAATTCAAGAACTACACAAGGCTGCTGCTTGCGTTTCCTTAAGCCAAATTTAGCTATTTAGATTCATTCATGATGCGTACTTTTGCATCCACCGACGCAAAACATCAATGTTGCGTGTGAAACTTCCTGAAATTCCGTTGTTCAGAACGTAAGTATTTTAAACATGCCCATGGGTGTGAAACGGGTGGGTGCAGCTGATTAGGAGTGGTTGGCGGGTGAGTATGGGTACAGTCCCATAGGTGACGGGTGGCTCGGGTAAACACAATTTAAGCAGTGCCAAGAATGCTTCCCGTTCCGGCCGAAGCGATAGCTTTGCTCTGACATAATATTATCTGATCCAGGTATGTCTGATGGGAATGCTGAAGACTGATCGTAGCTAATGCGATGATGGTAATGGCAAGCAGGTACGTATTGTGCTATGTGGCAGCAATGATCACACGTGATAACACAAACCCGATTAAATAGTCCATTACGCGGCTAGGAAGAAAATGGGTTTAATATTGACAATGCTGATGTGCTTGTCCATGTTCAGTTGTTAGGGACTCATCCATATGGTGGGCACTAGGAACCCAGTCGGATGCATCTTGCATATAAAGGTAATGCAATATGTGACAACTGTGTGAGAAAAAAAGTGGGACAAGTGACACCTGCGAAACAACAGTAAAGTGACACAATAAGTGACAACTGCGAAACAGCAAAAAGATGACACAATAAGTGACAACTGCATGACGACAATAAAGTAACACGATAAGTAACCACTGCATGACGACAACAAAGTAACACAGTAAGGAAGACCACAATCACGATTCAAACGAAAAGAAGCGCAAACATCCCAAAGTCATTCATGTTTGCTGAAAATAATGTTTGTTGAGCTTGTTGTAATGCTGTTCATTAAATTCCAGAGTTTCGTTAAAAACGTCCGTTTCGATGCATGCGGTACACAGCTATTTGACGCGGAGTGGCATGTGGAATGGGGTAGCGTAATTTAGAGATAGCGGAGTGGAATCGGGTACATGATTACGGGAGGGGAGGCATAAACGGTGCATTTTGGACGGCTGACGGCATGGGTGCTATTGACTCGTGGCACCGCTACGATTGACAGCAGTTTATTGATGGGCAATGTCTTCTCTGTTTCTACAAGCTTCTCGTATTCAGGACGGCGCTGGCCCACCTTAAAGAACGTTTGCTGCCGTCCTTTTTCTTTTTAGTTATCTCATTTAAGATTTGTTGCATTTGAGCTATTGCATTGCTCCTAATTGCTTACATGCTGAAATTTGTGCTTTGTAACAACTTCGTGAATATCTTGGCGGCACTTACCATAACAGTAATGATGACTTATACCGACACCTCCAATTTGCCAAATTTCTCCGCTCAGGTACTGTTTCGCGTATACCTGCCACAGACTGCTTTCACTTTTCCTTCTGTTGCACGTCGTCCACGCGCGTCTGGTAAAACAGTGTTTACAGGTCGTTCTTCTACGTGTGGAGCGTAGGGGATCGGAATAAGGTGTTTCGCTTTGAGCTTTGAGCTTTCAGGTAGACCTGTCGTTTGATGTGATGTTTGAGTTATGCACCTTCTCGTTAGTCAAATGCCCGCTGCCCATGTCAGACCGGCGTGCAAGTATGCGCGTTCATGTTTTGAGCGACTTCTAGCTGTTTGTTTGCCTAACAAACGATGCGAATATATGGGAGTAGGGCTGGGCAATGTCAGGAATATGCAGGCTGTAAAATAAACCGGCTGTAATGCGCAAAACGTGAACTGCGTAGATATTCGCACGCCACTTACCTTGGACACTCATACGTGGTTGGCATGAAAGGTCAGTATATTCAGACGTGTTACACACTTTAAGCGCTTTTTTAGAACCTTTTGTAGTATGGTAGGGCATCTCGCAGACGGAAAGTAAGCGATACTCTTTGGATTTGCTGGTTTTAGTGTGATTCTAGGCACCTGTTCTGCTTCGGGCCAACATTTAATGTTTAAAGAGGCGCCTGATATTTTGGCATTTACACGTGCACTTAACTCGCCTCATTGTGTGTTATCTGACTCGTCACTGATCCTTCCCGTCCGCCCCCTTTCGTGCCGCGTCGGTGCCACCATCGTTGCCAGCTGAGGTAATGGCTTTAGTGGGGTGCGATAGCCGTGGAACACTTGTGTAAACCTCACCTGCATAACAGATGACGCCACATGGCCGGCAGGTGCATATCCAGATGTTATCAGAGCTTTCCCCTGCGTGGACAGCACGAACATCACAGTTAAGTTGGAGCTGGCCGGCTGGAAAACCGCCCGGCTGGTAGTCAGGTAGTCTGAACGTGTGACCTCCCGAGAGCCAGGGGACTGCGGTCCCGACCTGGTGTTGGACCAGGTCCAGGTCAGGCCAGGGTTAGGCCAGGACTGATTACGACTGCAACGGTACCCAACATTCCTCCATTGGCAACGTAGTCATCGAGTTTGCTAACTAATGGAAATGGAAGCCCGTCACAAGCCCTGCATTTGCAGTCCACTGGTTCGAGTGGGACATAGATACCGGTGACGTCATATACAAATATATTACCGATGCAGAACTGGTCACTGGGCGACTCCAAACTGGCGCCAGAATCTGTGAGCTCCACCAACCGAATCATGGTCCTTGACCGGTGCTTGGACGGCGGTGTTTCCCCGCCCTCTCACCGAGCGGCCGTTCGGGCTCGGTTTGTTCCGCTGATCGGTGCTTGGACGGCGGTGTTTCCCGCCCTCTCACCGAGCGGCCGTTCGGGCTCGGTTTGTTACACTGACCGGTGCTTGGACGGCGGTGTTTCCCGCCCTCTCACCGAGCGGCCGTTCGGGCTCGGTTTGTTCCGCTGATCGGTGCTTGGACGGCGGTGTTTCCCGCCCTCTCACCGAGAGGCCGCTTGGGCTCGGTTTGTTCCCCTGATCGGTGCTTGGACGGCGGTGTTTCCTGCCCTCTCACCGAGCGGCCGCTTGGGCTCGATTTGTTCTGCTGACCGGTGCCTGGACGGCGGTGTTTCCCGCCCTCTCACCGAGCGGCCGTTTGGGCTCGGTTTGTTACACTGACCGGTGCCTGGAGGCGGTGTTTTCCCGCCCTCTCACCGAGCGGCCGCTCGGGCTCGGTTTGTTCCGCTGACCGGTGCCTGGACGGCGGTGTTTCCCCGCTCTCTCATCGAGCGGCCGCTTGGGCTCGGTTTGCTCCGCTGCTCACCCCTCCCGCTGCGACCACGATCCCGTGACGTCACCGCACTGACGGTCCCGGCGACCGGATCAGCGCCGTGATGAGCCGCGGGTGGCCCCCCGCCTATGCGGCCCTCCACCCTTGTTTACAAAGACGCCTGCGGGGACGATAATGATGGGCTCGCCTGCGGCCAAATTTAGCAGGAGCAGGGGTCGCACCGCTAGTGACTGCCGGTGATTTCAGGTAGACAGCTGGGCTGCCAGATCATGCCACCAGTTGCCAGATCTAAACCAGGCGTCGGCGGGCCGTTGGGAAGCATACATTTGTTAATCATGAATCGAGTACTTTATGTGAAAAGCTGTTCGTGTCGCCCTTCTATTCGCTGAGGTAAACCGAAAACCGTCTTTCTACTGCATTTGCTTTCATGCAAACTCGCCTGCTATATCCTGACAAACACGGGTACGAAATGAAATAATTTAAATGCATTTAAACTAATGCATTTCACAAAAAGTGGACGCCATTAGAGATACGCACCTATATGCGCAGCAGCTTATTTTACGTTAAATTTTATGAAAATATTCACAAGAGCACGGATACAGCAGAAGCGCAAGCCATCACGCCAATAATGCCACTGCATTGTTATAATCGTGTTCAAGCAATCATCGAACATGACTTTCGACGCATATGGCTGAAGAAATAGCATTTTTCAGTTTTATGTGCTGACATGTGCTGCCTACAAACGACTAGAAAACTCCAGATGTTCTAGGAAAACAAACAGCACGCAGCACGACAACGTCTGCTTTCGCAGCTTGCCACCATTGCCTTGCGCAAGACTGCCTACGACTGCATCAGTGTATTTTTGTAGTAGTTCATCCGACAACAAATCAAGCCACATGGTAACACAACCCGCCATCATGTCATAAGCTCACAGCTGAATGGTCGTACCAATACGGGCGATGTCTCTCAAGCTATCGCGGCAAAAGCGTGAAGCTGACAGATGGCGAGCGAGTCAGTACTGTATATTTGTCTCCGCTACAGCTGCCTCAACGCTTCTGACGACGGAAGGAGTCAACATAACGTCTAAAAACAAACACCTATCCTTTGAAAAAACAACGAGAAAAACAGGGTAACTTCGGTGCCTAACTTCGGTCACGGTTGAAGGACTAGACGAGCACCCAGCGAAAAATATAGCTGAAACGCCGCCTTAAGATTGCGGCGGTGCACCCCCGCACAGAGTGGCACATTATTCATTCATTTTAGGATCGGCAGTTCCACAAGGCACCCCAGTGGACAATCCGCCCACACCACCCACCACCGGTAGCTCGAGACGTGTGATCGCCGTGCGCGAGGAAACATCGGCTCATGACCCGAGATTAACAATCCAGAGTTCAGGGTTTGGCAGCAAGGTCCAGCCTCTACATACTGTGCTATTCTGCTGGTCAGATACTCAGCTGTTTTCACAGTCACTCGAGTAATTACAGTCAACGATCACGTAGCCAGAAGGTCATGCCGCTTCGCTGACACACATGAGAGCGATCGCCACCACCACCATTGATACTGCCATCATTGGGTGGGGTCAGGATAAGCTATTCAGGATAAGCTAGCTTGTGATTGGCAAGCGCATGCAGGTCCAGAAATAATGCCGGGGCACATGTGCTCACCGACACTTTTGCGTCGCATAGGGAGCCCACAATTCAGAGATCACACGCACCATACGATATCCGGGTGTCGGCGTCTGAGAAGCACAATCACGCGTCCGCGCTTCACAGGCCATTTCAGGTAAGGCCACAATAGCACGCTTCCTCGTCCTAACAAGCGCCCAGAAAACGGACGCGTTCAGCGGAGCGTTCATTCTCTTACGTGCAACGAGTGTGCTCTGGTCGCCTCCAAACTCTGCTCGAGCGACCAAGGCCCTGAGTCCCTCCCTGAGTCCCTGCTCGAGGGACTCAGGGACCCTGAAACACTTCAGGACGGGACTCAGACTCTATGATCCAGTCCAGATCCAGATCCAGATCCAGATCTGGATCCAGTCCCAGCTGGCCCAACGGCGCTCCGACGGGACCACAATGATCAAATCCGACTCCCTCACAACTCCTCAGAACAGGGAGCAAGCTTTGGCAGGCCCCCTGTTGGCCTCATGTCACTTGAGCGACTTCTTCATCTTCATCAGCTCCACGCAGAAGCCCGGGTAGCTGTCCTGTTCCATGCGCGCCTTCACCTTGTACTGCGCCTCCTCGAACACGCCGAAGCCCTCCGACTCCTTCTGCTCCAGCCGCTGGCGCACCGCCTCCGCCTCGCGGTATACGTTCACCTTCTTCGGCGCGTCGATGTCGAGGAACGTCTCGTAGATGGCGTTGGCGTCGTCCTTGACCTGCTTGTAGGCGTCGCTGAGTCGCTGGCAACGCAGCCAGAACTCCAGGTGCCGCTCGGTGCCTTCGTGCAGCAGGTGCTCCATGAACATGTCGCGGCCGCGGTCGCTGGCTAGCAGCCGGTCGAAGGAGCTGGTCCACTCCTCGATCTGCTGCGCCGTCACCTTGTTATACGACTCCGGCTTGTTTTTCGGCATTGTGGGTTCGGTGAAGGCGGGAAGAATCAGACGAAAATCGAGGCGCTGCCAGATGAACCTTTATCGGTGGCCCCGTCTGTCATGCACTGGATGGTATAAGATTCCAAGGGGTCCGCGCTGCTTCGAAGTGGCTAGACACCCTAACGTGGTGCGCTCGCACCGTTGGGTTGGTGACGTTTTGCGCCGCACCCTTCACGGCAAGCCAGCGGCGCCAGGCGCCGGCCACGCGCGTTGGGGGGCGGGGGGCCGAGGTATTTATAGACACCGGGCCACGGCACCACGCAACCAGCTACTCCGAATCACTTCACAAACCGCGGAAGATCGGCACAAGCTGACGCGTCGCGGCCGTTGCCATGCATCCAAGTGCCTCCCCCGTCAGGTGCCACGTGGACTCGTCCGCGCCTGAGTCAGAGAAGAGCCTAGAAACAGGAAAAGGGGCGTCAAACTGCGTTCGCGTCGTGGAAGCGCGCACCAGGCCACGAACACGTCGGTCGCACTGTTCACACTGCCACCGGGTCGCTGGCTCATTCACTTGCCTCACATCGCGTCTTCCGGTGCGCACGCTCCCACGCAACGGCACGCGGACACTTTCTCACGGGCCAGCCGCGACGCTCCGCCGCACGGCCGGCGACGCGGCCGCGGGTTCGCCTGTCGCTCATTGGTCGTCTTATGACGTCACCCAATGAGGTGAGGGAGTAGTGCGGGATATCGCCGTGGCGCGGCGCTAGTGAATGTGGGCCAACCCGAGGACACCTGCGATGCATTTAAAATTTAAAGTGCCGGCATGGCGCAACAAATTTTGACAGGGAGGAAGATTGCTTACGTCGTTATGCATATTCTAACATGCTTCAGGCAGCCTTATTCAGAGTAAATGGTCTAGCATTTGTGTTCAGAGGCGTCGTGATTCATGACTGAGTCACTCGCCGTTGCAAAAGCATGCCATTCTCCTCTAGGGGCAGGGACGAATCCAGGTGGACGTGGTCACCACCAGATGGTTAAAATGAATACATATTCGCTTTAAGGATAGTTTTAGGGATCGACGAGTAGCTCATAATGCCTAGCTTCAACCAAATTTTGTTTTAGACCTATCCCCGGTTCATTTGAGATCACCTTGTAATATGGACCACAAAATATCGGCCAAATTTTGCCAGAGGAAAGTCTGCCATGCGATGTGCAGTTTTAAATGGTGAGACATCTAAAAACAATAATGGCACTGCCTACAGAGTCATGTATCAACTTTTCAGTGATCGTGCAAATAGTTTACTCCCCTTTCTGCCTTCTACTTGCCCATTCATTCTGCCTTACTTTCTCCTATATGCGACTTTCTGGTCGCGTTTCAGACCCGGCAAAGCATGCTCCAATTTGCACTGGCTAATTATAATAAGCTATGGCTAATATATAATATAATAAAAATAATGATAAATAATAAAAATAATAAGGCACCCCGTTCTCCTTATCGCAATCTTCATCTCATCTGTCGAAAATTTGTACGTGACAGGTGTGGCTTGCGGCCGGTGGCGGCGATCGTACTTAATGCCAGGTGACGTCAAAGAACAGGAAAGACCGTGCTGAGCATTGCAGCACGTTAAACCTTCGCCAGCAAATTATGCCGTAAGTCTGAAATTAATAGATCGGATGACAGGAGTCAGGGCACACACAGCAAGCACTGCTTAGTATTAGCTCTTATCCCAGAAATCCATTCGTTCAGAAGTTTTTGGCTCCTCTCCTTTTTTGAACCAATATATTCGCATGTCCAATCCCATCGGTCTCTATTTTATACTTCTCCTAGCACCGCTTGTTAAATTTTCATTCATCACCAGGTGTATATGAACCCTCGACTTGATTCGCGGTTTGCATAACGCGGACTGATAAGGGGGTCGATGTGCCCCGTCCCCCGCCCTCCCTACCGTTTCCAAACTAAAAAAGATGGAGTTAAACAACAAAAAAACGCCTGGTATTGGTCTCAATCAGTTATCGTGATTGCAATATCTGTTTTTAAAAAGTATATGTCAATGATTGACTCCATCATACTAGGTAGAAGTGTAAATTTTCCCAACAGCCGAACTCTTTCAGCTTTACTTGCTCATGTGTACAGAATCATGTCTTGCAGCCGGGGGCGGCACCATTAATTTGTGATGGGGGGGGGGATACGCCTGTAAAAACATCACAACACTTGAATAAAAAATGGGTGAAAACTAAAATTCAGTATTGGAGTTGTCGTACTTGATCATTGTCATACGTAAATTCATCGCGTGTCTTGAACATCACGACCAGGAGGCATGGAGGGCGCGGGAACCGAGGTTGAGGGCAGAGGCTGAGACACAAAACTTTTCGAAAATTCCTCTGCAAGTTAGAAGACCGAATAATGCTCGAAGTTCAAACAAGATCAACCGATGCGCACAGAGAGCGTAACGGACACTTCTGCACTATTCACCAAATCTGTTCATTTCCGAGCAAGTTATGAGAGCTCCAACTTTTAAATCATGACCTCAGACAAATCTCGGCCAAAATTGGGGCATTCTTTAAGCCTGAAAGTTCTTCGGGTACAAAAAAATAGTTCTGAAAAAAGAAAAATTGCGTCGCTCCATTCTGCCGTTATTTCACTAAGAACAAGAACATCAGGAGGGAAGGATTGCCGTCCCTCGGCCGTCGTCTTCGCCATTTGAGCTTTGGGCTCATGAAATGGCATGCATCGTCATTGGGGCTCAACAATGTGTGTGAATGTGTATGTTTTAAGGAGGGGAAAGGGGAGACTTTAAATACTGTTTAGAAACACCATTTATCAAATACCCATGTAGAAAATCAATTGGTGGACTACCCCGTATCCATTCACTTTAACTCATTGAGCCGCTCGATCAATGATGTAACATTCGTTGGCTTGGAGAGGGTACGGAGCAAAAATGGCAATATTTTTGCCCATTGCTACACGCTCAGAGGAAGTGGATTTGTATGCCAGGAGCATCACACCTTTAACGGGTGATCAACGTAAAAACCAAAAGCTAACGTACGAAACACATTAAAAAGTGTCTTAGCAGGGGCTAACCCACAACCAATGCACCTGTGTCGATCACTAGTTTTACGAAAGGATGTGAATAGGACAGGGTTAGGATAGGATAGAGATAGGGCTATCCAGACTGAAGCAGGCTACTATAGAACTGGAACATCTCATGGTATAACGTCAGTATGTTTCTTGTACCTGAACAGAGCAGAATGAATGCATGCACGTAAAAAATGTTTTACGTATGCTCAGCTGTGCATGCACATTTCGCTTCTTCCAGTTAAGGCTTAAGTACCGTTGCTTTTTTCCTAAAACGAAACTACGCTGGCCGGGTAAAATGAATTTGTTTAAATTCAAGCCAAGTTTCAACTGTATTCTGAAAACAGCAAGCGCCCTGTCCCTATCTGGCTAAGGCATATGTGCAATAGCGACATGATAGCGACACGATAGCGACACGTGCCATGCGACATTTCACCCGGCTTGTTATTGTGGATTGTGCGCTAAAACTGGTGGAACGCTGACCGATGTCTTCTTTGTCACAAGCCTAGAAGCACATGAAATTAAAAATGCACGTGATGTGTGTGCGAGAAAGTCCTCATCATCAATAGTCGGAAACAAAGGGCGTTTAAAGTAAGCTATTGCATTGCTCGAAAACTTGGCCCTAATACCGAAACCGCTTAGAAATTTTTTTTTTCGGGTGAACCCGAATATTGAAGCGCGTGACGGCCATGGGGTGAACACCCGCAAGGCTATTGATTTTCGCCACCCTTTACGAGACGTGTGGACCAGTACACAGTTTTAGGGCCATGATATCAGTAAGCCTTATTTTGAGATGTGCAGACCAGGCAAACAAGCATATTCCGGGCAACGCAACGAGTGCGCACGACTCGTGATGTGCATGACACAGGCAGCCGAAGCCGTTGGGAAACGCTTCAAGTAAAGTTGATATGAATGCATGTTATGAGCAAGTACTACTTGTTTTCACTACGGTGCATAGTTTACAGATAACAAGTGAAAATCGACGGTGTACGAATGCATCCGGTTAACAGAAAGGGGAAACCAGGAAATGGAAACAAACCTGTCAAGCAAGGAGTCGTCGCCAAGTCTTGTCGATTGCCTCGCCCAAAAACCCGCCTACAACCTCGGTGGCTGAACGCGAACTACAACAGACACTCGCGGTTCGACTCGACACATTTTTAACGCACAAAAACCCGGGACAAGCAAATACTTAGTCAGGCAATGCCAACCAAGCAGAGCATTGAGCCTGGCACCGGCCCGAAACGCTTCCTCCATCATGGAAGGCAATCGATTGGTGACGTCACTGAGCTTTAAGACGTTGCCATTGGTCCTGCCTGCCGTCGGCCGGACCCAACCACCAATGGTGAGGCGGCATGGCATCAAGCTGTGGTCGTCGTCCCGAGCTCCGGCGTTGCTAACGATATTTGGACAGACACACGGTTCCGTTTGGAGCAGAACGCTCTTCAGGTCGCTACCGCGTATATCTGAGCTCAGCAGGTGACGTGCAGTGCTTGTTGACCATTCGAAACTTAGTGAGCCTCATAATTAGTGCGTCTGGCGCCGTTTTCTTTGGGCGATTCGGTTCGGTATGTACGCAACGATAGACAGAGCACTAGCTCTAGCCAACTTTGGTGCATTGCATAGGCGTAAAAACCGCCATTTCATATTCCTGTTCTCTGAGTGCCATGGCATTCTCACTTTCCGAAAATGCTTAACATTAACTCTATGACGAACGCATGGAAAGATTCGACTTCAAAATCGGCATCGCCACTCCGACTTTTTGAGACGCTCTTCCGTCAGTATTGTATCATACCTAATACTCCGGAAAAACCGAAATGAGCATTGAACTTGACATCCAGCTTAATAATTTTTGTAAGGCGGGGCAGAATAGGCACTTTTTCTATTTCCAGCGTTTTAAAGTGCATGGGTCCAAATAAGGCTACAAAGGAGGGGACCAACCGTCACCAGCTATATCAGTTCGGTGTCACACTGGTACCACCTTTGTTGGCTGTGGGATTCGCTAAAATGGCGGTTGAGCCTGACTCGAAAGCTTGTCTGCTGCGTTCAATCGCGATACGTTGTTAATAGGCATCCAATCAGCAACCCATCCAGCCTATCAGACGCTAACTAAACATGTAATACATAGGGAAATGAAGAGGAAGTAAAGACATATAAATGTCTTATTGAGATGAAGTAAAACAACGAAATATTTAACTCACCGTCAACGGTTCTGAGCAGGCCACTGATGTTTTCTTAAAGTATGTTTAAATAAAGAAGTTAGAGCAAACGGCAGGAAGGCGCTGTTTGAAGCATTATCCGTCCAAAATAACTGAGACACATTTCGAGAAATTGGCGGAGATGGGGCCCCATTTGGGACATATGCATGGAAATTGCATGAAGGTTCATGAGTCCTCCAAAACCGTGCTTTAATTGTTTCCTCAAAAGAGCAAACCAGTCCGCTTAAACTATATCCTTTCATCTCGGGGCAATGCTGGTCAGCTGAACACTCAATGCCTTGTGTTTGTGCCTTTTTTCGGGCCCGTAACACTTTATACTAAAACGTTTACTGTGACTGAAAGTGTGACTGTGAGGATACATTGAGATAATTACGCGCACTCTGTCGCTGACGTTCTATATATATATACTATATATATATTATATATATATATTATATTATATATTATCTATATATATCTCTCTCTCTCTTTCTCTCTCTCTCTCTCTCTCTTCTCTCTCTCTCTCTCTCTCTCTCTCTCTCTATCTCCTCTCTCCTCCTCTCTCTCTCTCTTCTCTCTCTCTCTCTCTCATCTCCTTCTCTCTCTCTCTCTCTCTTCTCTCTCTCTCTCTCTCTCTCTCTCTCTCTCCTCTCTCTCTCTCCTCTCTCTATCTTCTCTCTCTTCTCTCTCCTCTCTCTCTCTTCTCTCTTCTCTCTTCTCTCTCTCTCTCTCTCTCCTCTCTCTCTCTCTCTCTCTCTCTCTCTTTCTCCTCTCTCTCTCTCTCTCTCTCTCTTCTCTCTCTTCTCTCTCTCTTCTTCTCTCTCCCTCTCTCTCTCTCCTCTTCTCTCTCTATCTCCGTCTCTCTCTCTTCTCTCTCTCCTTCTCTCTCTCTCTCTCTCTCTTCTCTCTATATATATATATATCTATATATCTATCTACTATCTATCTATCTATCTATCTATCTATCTATCTATCTATCTATCTATGTATCTATATACTGTGTGTGTGTGTGTGTGTGTTGTTTGTGTGTGTGTGTTGTAGTGTGTGTGGTGCGTGCGTATGTTATATTCCGCAGTTTTTACTCACTGCAGAGGAGAAAGTGGCGTCCAGCCACCACCTATTTGTATACGGTGTGCTGAGGCAATTATTCAAAATAACGCTTGGATGAATCCCTCATGTGATTGATGATTAATAATGAGGGGCGCTTTCTGGTATTCCGTCAAGTTGGCTGTCAGGTTAGGTGGAGACGAGCTCAATGATATTTCTCCCTGCCTTAAAATAACTCCGTTTTCACATGGCAGAAACAAGCTGATTTAAACACGCGCGCGCCAGGGTGGAGGGGAGGGGTCAAACTGACCCTCCAGAGGTGTTTCGGAATGGTTTCCGAACGCGCGCAGTGTAGTCGCGCCAACTTTTTGCATAGCTGAGACAACTGAATAGCGGATTGTCTGACGTCAACAATTTAGATGTACCTTGTAAGTCACTGACCTATGGCAGGTCGAAGTCAGGTCATGGTTTTTAGAGAAGGCAATTTCTAGGCCATCGTTCTATGTGATCCAACAAGAGAGTGCTTAGACAAAGCCATATATTCACTTTCTTAGGCAACACCACAATTGAATGAGCTGATAACATTGACCTAGGGTCAGGTGTGGAAGTCAGACCAAGGCCAAAACCAACCTGTTTTATTACTCTAGGACCTGTTGTATGAATGTAGTGTCTGGCGCCCATTTCGAATTTGTTGATGGAAGAAGAAACTGCATTATATACCCTTCTACGGACTTCTTTAGTGTCACAATAGGTCATTGACCTAAAATGACCCAAGTCAACACCTTGTTTTTCGGAACATACTGCCTAGCGTAATCTTAGTCGCTTATTCAAATGCAAAACTCAATGCAGTCTTTTATGATTTTGGTCAGCATTACCTCCAAAGGTCACGCAAGGCCGCTGACCTTAAAAAAACCTGTGACTTTTTGTTCAGAACAGTTATCTAGGTTCTAGGGGGCCTTTGGAGACCAACGTGAAATTTGACCTTGTTTGACCCTATTTGACCGAAAGGTCATGACCTAGGAACCTCAAACTTTGGCCTAAGTGAGTTAACGTGCAGGGCAACGCAGCATGTGAATTTGGTTTCTCTAGCTCTCTACTTTTTGAGTTCTCAATTGGATCAAATTGACCCCGCCACCAGAGCGAAGGGTATCCAGTTGGCCAACCGGGTGCGTGTTAAGTCAAAGTGCGTTGCTATTTACTTCTGAGTAAATGGTACGAACACCATAGGAGAGCATTCAATGATCTTCTGTGATCATGACTGTTGATAAGCTTGCACTGAAGTATCCATGTGCAGCAAAGCTATTTGTACCTTACCAGATAAAGACATCCATTACATTGACTGGTTGTCAAATGCTGGCGTGGCGTGACCCCGGTCTTGGATGACTTCAACACACTTGACTTATTCCCATGGGTCTAGGACCAGGGGGAGGGGGGAGGGGGCATGGGCCGAACAAACTGTCTCATGGGGTAAATGACAGCATTTTTTCCTTATCCTAGCATGGTCTTGTTATAAAAACTTCAAAAACTACCCCATACAGTCGGCCTTAGAGCAGTAAAGCAGATTGCTTTTGACCTGGGTGTGACCTAATTGCTGTGTTGCCAAAGAAAGTGCCTCAGAGGTGAAAGCTTTGTCTAGCACTCGGCTTTGTCTGACACTCGGCTGTTGCATCAGATTAAACGATTCCCCAAGAACTGGTTTCACTGAAACCGTGGCCTGAATTTGACCTTCCACAGGCCAGCAACTTTACAAGGTACATCTAAATTTATGATCCTAAATGATCTGCTATTCAATCATCTGCAGCTATGCAAAATTTGGCGCGGCCGTGTCACGTCGTTCGGAAAACACTCTGGAAGAACCTTCGGAGGGATCAATTTGGCCCTCGCACCCAAGCCGCGTTAAGGTAGCTCGAGCACCAAAAAATACGCGATTTATTCAGAGAAGTCTTCAGGAGGGTGACGGCGCATTTGATTACGTGCCGACAACTACTGCAGAATGGCATCGCCACTGAAAAGACGGCAAAGAAATCCATGAACTTACGGGAGACATTTCAGAACGGTTCCGGTTTCAGGAACAGGGATCCATCTGGTGCGCTCGTTGAGCATGGATTGCTGTGCAAGACAAGAGCGCTGCTTGCACTGAAACCAAGAAATGCATGTCAGTATTTTTTTCGAAAACATATCAGCCTTTTCTTTTTTAGTAAGTCCAAACGTTTTGCAGGGATAAATATTTGGGATTGCTGCCTTGTCCATTATGTCAGCAAATTTTGCCTGCAACGCTCTGGGGGAAACTTACATGCGCCCATCAAATGCATTTGCGCAATCACGCCGCATAATTGTGGAGACCCCTTCGCCTTCGACCAACTGCATCTGTCATGTTAAACAATCAGCCGGCACAGGCACTCAGCGCCAGGTACCTCCTACATGCTAGAGTGGGAAGTCTGAGCCGATCGGACGCGTCTGCGGGAGCCGGCATCAATACAGATATATGGGTTATGCATGCCTCAATGTTTTCCACTAAATCCCAAGCTTGCAATGATGACAGCCACACGATCGACGCCCTGAGGAGTGAGTGCAATTGGTGCTGTTCTAGGGAACGAAATATGAATAAACAGTCTTGATCGTTTACAGAGCATTTAGCATGAGGTGGGAATGTAGACCGTTCTACTCGCAGCTTAACAACTATATCGGGCACTTCATGAAATGCCCCCAAAAAACATACCTTCATCCGGCAAGTGATGTAATAATGATGAATACAGAAGGTGCCGCACTCTAGCATGTATTCCAGGCAACGATTTTTAAAAAAAAATGAATGCTACAATAATAGACAATAGTTAACATATAGTTAATTGACATAAGCTGCATCAAAAAGCCTACAATGCGAAAAGTCATTTGCTGCTATGGTGTAATTTAAGCAAGCATAGTTAGGAACTAAGTACTGCAGCACGTGTCATATCTGCTTGACACACCGCTTAGTAGTGGTGCTGATCCTCAGCATGCAGCAAAGCAGTCACCGGTGATCAGTTGGCAGTCAGTATTGCGCGTGACAGACCGTCCAAGGCAGTGGCCGCCGACGGGGGGCGGTAACAGTGCCCACACGGTACAGACGGTCCAAGGCAGTGACCGCTGACGGCGGGCGGGAACAGGGCTCACACGGTACAGACCGTCCAAGGCAGTGACCGCTGACGGCGGGCGGGAACAGGGCTCACACGGGACAGACGGTCCGGACCAGTGGCCGCTGACGGCGGGCGGGAACAGGGCTCACACGGGACAGACGGCTCAGGGCAGTGGCCGTTGACGGGGGGGGTAACAGGGCTCACGCGGGACAGACGGTCCAGAGCAGTGGCCGCTGACGGGGGGCGGTAACAGGCTCACACGGGACAGACGGTCCGGACCAGTGACCGCTGACGGGGGGTGGTAACAGGGCTCACACGGGGCAGACGGTCCGGACCAGTGGCCGCTGACGGCGGGCGGTAACAGGGCTCACACGGGACAGACGGTCCGGAGCAGCGGCCGCTGACGGCGCGGTAACAGGGCTCACGGCGACAGACGGTCCAGAGCAGTGGCGCTGACGGCGGGCGTAACAGGGCTCACGCGGGACAGACGGTCCGGAGCAGCGGTCGCCGTCGGCAGGCAGGGGTAGGGCTCACACAAGGAATATCCGACAGAAAGATCTTCAGCCTCAAACTTATTTTTTAGAAAAGAGACCCCAGTTTTATGGATTTGGTCACATTGTTTTTGGCATGCAATATTTAAAGTTTCCAAATTTGCTTGTGCCTAACATGCTGCGACAAAAGCTCGTTCCTTGAAAAGCAGTTTGTGAAGTCCAGACATATGACAACTTAAGTACACTATTGGCCATGGATTCGAATTCAAAATTCGGATCAGCCTGTGCCAAGGCCGTATTTTGGGATGTAAACTAGGGAGACAGATGCCTCGCCAATGACCCATAATGCCTACCCACTAACGCGCCTTCTCCCCCCCCCCCCCACCCCCACCCCCACAGGGAAAAGGCTGAGGCGGGACGAAGGAACTTGCATATATTCCGCATTATTGCAGTCGAATAGTTTCAGGAGGCTGAGTAGTGTTATTTGTCAAATTGCATCAGTTATTCTACTAGGTAAGATTATGCACCAGCAAAAAGAGCCTGCAGGTAACACCTACATCTTCATTTATCTAGCATAGCAACCAGCACATTAATGTAATGTCCTATCTGCCATGCGAATCAAGAGCGGATGAAGTTCTCCATCTGTATCCCCTCGCCCCCGGTCGCCGGATTGCCCCTATGAACAGTTCCCTAAGAAAGCCTTAGGGATACTGCAACCGTGCCACACATACACTTTTTGAAACGCTCTTACGCCTATGTTTATCCATGCCATTTGAGCCAGTCAGGGTTCGTGACGTCATTGCTTCGTGGGTTAGGTCGACCTTTACTTGCCTTGAGTTGGTTCATGTTTCAAGATCGGAGCGCCCGCGATGTACACAACCACACAACACATTAAGGACAAGCGGAAGCCAGATCAGGTGCACACAATGCTAGCATTACGTCGTGCTGTACCAATTAGTCACATGTTAGATAAACTATCATGTACTGAAGTTTGACATGTGGAGCAGCTTTTTGCGGCTGTTGGAGTTGTTACTTTCGTCCATTGCTCTATCATGTGATTACCATCATAAAATAGGAAGTAGTTATCGACACGCGGCGCTCATTTTATTCTGAACCCTCGCCCTGGTGGAAGAGGAGGCACATCGATCACTGCCCCCATACTCCCTACGGTTTTCTGAGGACACCTCCTCGGCATGGCATGCAAACCCTCCCAGTTTTTTAGTAACCTCACGGGCCTTCATTGCACGTGTTTGAGACCAATGAGCGTTGTTCCAAAATTCTTGGTCCCAAGCAGCAACGGTTTTTTACAAACACTTGTACCGCCGATCCACGGTCGACGCGGGCAGGCGGCGGCAACCGATGAATCCGCAGACCGTGCGATGGACCCACGCTCTCGCCATACATGTAGTCTTATTAATAAATATACGCTGAAAACACATATAATGCACAATAATGTGATGAAAACTCAACACCCAACACTCTTTTTTTAGAGTTCGCAATATGCAATCACGACATCCCGTTCATAACAAACTTTTTTCTCTCCTTCATCTCTACCTTTTTTGTCTGGATGATGGCAGATGAAGTGTCACATTAACCCTACTCCCCCCATAAGCGTCAGCTTTAATAGAAGCGGTTAATCAGCGCGAGATTCAATGTGTCGCACTGCTGTCTATATGTTCACCAAAAAGGACATGTAAGAATGTTTTAATTCGCGTGTTTGTAGTTGCATTTGCCTGCGGGAACTCCATGAATGAATTTAGGGTTGGCTTGCATGCGGTTAATGTCATGCAAATTTAGTATTCGGTAGCAGTAACTGCCTTCATTATATTGGCTCCTCCAGGTTGATCCAGAGATTGTGGGGATTTCTGACTGTTGTATTCGTGGTGCATAAGCTTAGCCCAACTAGGAAACTTTTTGTACCGATGATATGTCTTATGTTAGAATATGTTCCCGTTTGTCTGCATGTGTCGTTGTTACCTCATCTCTAACCTTACACTCTCAACTTCGTGGATCCAACCAAAGTGGCAGCTGAACGCTTACCCCATTGCTGAATTGTGAAAGCAAACACCGATTGACCTTCCTATAGGCTGGTTACTTGTTCAGCGCTGTTGCGAGGCACATGGTATTTCATTTTTTGTGGTCTTTTATCGTTGGTTTCTTCGTTAATTGTGTAAAAAATGATAACTCCAAGTAAAACTTCCTTCTCTTTATGCCACCCTGTTACTTAAACCTTTGCAGAATCATAATTCCAAATCAATGCTTTGATCCTGACTCCGTCACGATCACGGTCCAGAGACATCGCCAGATACTTCTCACCGACTCTCACTTCTGAACAGTGTATTCCATAGTCTTCTCCGAAAAGGTTAAACCCTGACGCAATCGGCGGAACCTGTGAAGAACCAGTGGGGCTAATGTCTTGGACAACGCGCCGTTTTAGAACGGAATAACTCAAAACTGTTAAGACAGCATCGTTCTGTTTCCATTCCGCGGGCACACTCCCGTTATACCCAGAGTGACTCCTGCTGCTCACTCACATCATGGCTTGCGTGTCATTTTGTGGATTGTGGAGTAGCATAATCAATGTGTGTAGATTGCATCCATGGTTGGATTTGTGTCCAGTGTGCCAGGTCGGTCACGTCCCGTTTTGATCGAACCTGCCCGCCCCCTTGATGTGCTGCTACGTACGCCCTTGAACGCATCAAACCGACCACATTCCACACAAAGCCTGGCATGTTAGAAAATCGAACAGGAATGCAATTGTTTTCGACAGGACAGTCTGAGCGCCGCTATTCTCAGATCGCTCTATCGCCCGTGTTGCTTTTGGGAGGACGTTCTCCCGCACACGACCACCTGATTTAACGGCAGCTGCCGACCACCGCTCGCGGCCCGTGGCACGTGGCGATCCGCGAGACAGCCAACATGTGCCACGTGTGCCACCTTGGCGTGCCAACACCCTGGTTTGTGTCCGCCCATTGAAGATACGTTGACCGCGAAACATCGCATTCCGGAGTTTCAGAATCAGGTGTGAGGACAAAGTTGCTTGAGGTACGTTCATCGCTTCTTTGTGTCTGCATTGCACAAAAGAATATTGATTTTTGCTTTGTCATGAATATTTGAGACGAATTGAAGGATCGCACACAGGTGCTTGTATTTCAAATCAGAAATCAGTAATCATAGATGACAGATTTCTCGTGTTCCAGAGTTACAGCTCACTTCATTGCCGTACTCGGACTAAACACATGTTTTCAGCGGCAAATGCAGCCAACTTGAAGCAAGCTGTAGACGCAAAAGATCAAAATGTTCTACTATAGCTACGTGGTAGACACTGGTGTAATATCATTGGATTACACGTGAATTTCTGAGTGTGACAAAAATGACGTCCTACAATATATATATATATATATATATATATATATATATATATATATATATATATATATATTTGTAGACATTCACGCAATAGCGATATGACCAAGGAAAAACAGAACGGGAATCAGCGCATAAGACGATAAGACGACACAACTACCTCGCGAAGGATTTGAGCATCTTCACACAATAATGCAGATGTTCACGGCGTAACTTGCAATGCGTGTCTAACAACCACCAATACAGCATCCATTACGCTCGCCAATATTGGCTTTACGCACGCACACGCCGGACATGGAGCGTTCGTTAGTCGCATATTATGTGCAAGCCTGGTCCCATTTTGGCGGCAACGTTCAGCGGAGCCCGCCAATTACAGTCTCTGCACGAGTCAAATTAAGTATGACATGGCACATCACATGGAAGAAATTGTACAAAAGCCAGAAACAAAAAGCGGCCATACTCCTTCTGGCGGAAAAAAGTCGATTATATGCCTCAGTTCCACTAGTCTTCAATGTCGTCACCGAAGTCCAGACAAGAGCACAATCGCCACCCTGTTGCTCGCAGTCGCAAGCCAAAGCCAGACGGATCTTAGGTGCAGCTTCAATGCTAAACCGATCCTAGGTGCGACTTCAAAGCTAGACCGATCGTAAGTGTGACGAGGCATCCCTAAGCGATAAGAGTCGGCCTTCGATCTCATGGCATTCACAGATCACAGTGTGCATGCCCGTTATGGGTCGGGTAAACACTGCAGCAAGGCACCCATGGGTGCATAGCGTGCACATGCTCTCAAACGGACGACCCAATCTGAAGCAAGGCCGAAAGAGCAACTGTAAATCACACAGACCATCATCTGGACGGTCGTCTAGCTGGTGGCGTATTCCAGGACCCAGATTAGGCCACCGCGGGGCGGTATGTCACTCCTGACACAAGTCACACCTGACCCCAGGTCACGCCTGAGGTCAGTGACCCTGGGCCACACGAGCCTCAGGCGAGGCCGGCCAGCCGCTCGAACAGCGGCGTCTTCAAGAAGTGGGGGAAGACGTCACGTCTGATGTCATCCGTGACGGCACGTTCAGCCCTGTCGAAGAGCGTGGCGGGGGCCTCCTGCAGGCGGGCGCTGATGCTGTCCCGCAGCGGCTTGTCCAGCACGACCTCACGCTCTGCCAGTACTTTCAGATACGTCGTGAAGATCTGCTGGGACAGCTTCAGCCGGTCGGCCTCGTCCCTTTGGCGCCTGTCGGCGGCGGGTCGGGGTCAGATCACGTGGCAGTGCTGGGGGCGGGGGAGAGGGTGGCAGAACGGCTGGATGCTGCATGCAGGGGTCCAGCCAGGAATGTGGTTGACATTAACAGCGCCTTCAAAATTCTCGTTTTTAGTCTGCTTGCAGTTGCGAGGCTCCGGGCTGCGCGCTCGAGCTGTCCGAATTCTGCTGACCTCCGCGTTCTAACCAGCGGCAGGGATTGTTACGCCTCAGACCTTGGCATAAGCAAGTGGTCGAATAAGCACCACTGACGAGGCGTCATAGGATAACAGCCGCAGCTGATGCGTAATGGATGATAACTTACCGACCAAGCAATCTGGCTACAAACTGGAGAGATAGTGTACATCTACAGCGACTCAAGCACAACCACACATCTGCAGCGACTCAAGCACAGTCGCACACATCTGCAGCGACTCAAGCACAGCCACATACATCTGCAGCGACTCAAGCACAGCCACATACATCTGCAACGACTCAGACACAGCCACATACATCCGTAGCAACTCAATCACAGCTAGAACTTCAAATAGGTGGGCTCCTTGCACCGACCGACCCGAAGTACGCGTTGGGGCATCACCAAAGCCGACCAGACTGGTGACACACCTGTACAGCTCCACGTCGGCGAGGAAGTCGAGCAGGTGGTCCTGCCGTATGGTGACCATATACTGTCGCAGCGCCTCCATCGCCTTCTCCGACTTGAGCACCTCGTCCAAGCTGGCGTAATTCGAGCGTGGCTTCCGGGCCGGACCGAGCCCTGGCTTTTCGAGCCCCACCGCCGTCTGCTGCGGCACGGATAGTGGCGACCGTGTCTCAGAGGTCACCGGAGCCGACTGTAACACCACGGTGCGGTCACCAGGCTGCCAGGTGTAACACCACGGTGCGGTCACCAGGCTGCCAGGTGTAACGCCGCGGTGCGGTCACCAGGCTGCCAGGTGTAACGCCGCGGTGCGATCACCAGGCTGCCAGGTGTAACGCCACGGTGCGGTCACCAGGCTGCCAGGTGTAACACCACGGTGCGGTCACCAGGCTGCCAGGTGTAACACCACGGTGCGGCACCAGGCTGCCAGGTGTAACGCCACTGCGGTCACCAGGCTGCCAGGTGTAACACCGCGGTGCGGTCACCAGGTGCCAGTGTAACACACGGTGCGGTCACCAGGCTGCCAGGTGTAACGCCACGGTGCGGTCACCAGGCTGCCAGGTGTAACGCCGCGGTGCGGTCACCAGGCTGCCAGGTGTAACGCCACGGTGCGGTCACCAGGCTGCCAGTGTAACCACGGTGCGGTCACCAGGCTGCCAGTGTAACCCACGGCGCGGTCACCAGGCTGCCAGGTAACGTCCACGGTGCGGTCACCAGGCTGCCAGGTGTAACGCCGGTGCGGCATCAGGTTGCTAGTGTAACAACCGCGGTGTGGTCACCAGGCCAGGTGTACGCCACGGTACGGTCACCAGGCTGCCAGGTGTAACACCACGGTGCGGTCACCAGGCTGCCAGGTGTAACACCACGGCGCGATCACCAGGCTGCCAGGTGTAACACCACGGTGCGGTCACCAGGCTGCCAGGTGTGACACCACGGTGCGGTCACCAGGCTGCCAGGTGTAACACCACTGCGCGGCCACCAGGCTGCCAGGTGTAACGCCACGGTGCGGTCACCAGGCTGCCAGGTGTAACACCACGGTGCGGTCACCAGGCTACCAGGTGTAACACCACGGTGCGGTCACCAGGCTGCCAGGTGTAACGCCACGATGCGGTCACCAGGCTGCCAGGTGTAACGCCGCGGTGCGGCATCAGGTTGCTAGATGTAACGCCACGGTGCGGTCACCAGGCTGCCAGGTGTAACGCCACGATGCGGCATCAGGTTGCTATGTAACACCGCGGTGCGGTCACCAGGCTGCCAGGTTAACGCCACGGTGCGGTCACCAGGCTGCCAGTGTAACACCACGGTGCGGTCACCAGGCTGCCAGGTGTAACACCACGGCGCGATCACCAGGCTGCCAGGTGTAACGTCACGGTGCGGTCACCAGGATTTCAGGTCGATGGATTGATGTGTGCATTAGTTAGGATTGGGTTGTGGCGAACATGGAGTAGACAAAGCGCCCAAGTAAAGCGTAGAATTCAGAGTGCAACACTCCAGTAAGCCTATATGGCCTTCGCGATGCGCTTCTGTAAGCAACACAAAAAGGAGATGCTTAGCAGGTTGGTGCATAAAATGGAAATAACACGTTTGTACGGCTTTAGTGATAGTTATTTAGCCCATGCAGTGGGCTATACATTATCTCATCAATAAAGTGGGCGCTTTGTTCGAGCTCCAGACACCGACATTGCCTGAGTTAAGGATGTGGTAACAGCGCGGAAAACGTGACAAGAGGCAGCATTCAAACAGGGCAGAGAAACGGTTGCACTGCAAACATTCAACGAAGCCCGGCTCACCTGGAAATTTGAGAGGACGCTTGCAGCTATATCTTAGCCCATGTGGTGGCGGTGTGATAACGTCAGACAAGACAGCAACTACAGTTGTTCCAAAAGTACGAACCGATCACAAATGACATGAAACATTCTACGACGGCAACCTGTCTGCAGCTGTGCAAGATTCACCTTTGATTCGTTGCGTACTGGTGAGCTGGTCTTCGGTCTGAAGCAATCAAAACAATTCATTGACAGTTGCTGAAAAAATCAGATCGGGTCAGTACATAAGCAGACACACTCTCTAAAAACCAGGAGCACGAGCGGCATGCAACATATATTCCTGAATGTCTGGTGTTTCACAGCACAACGTTTGCTGGTTGTGGGTACCTCCATCTAACCAGAGGGTGTTTCAGTGCATGTGCGGCTATGCACCTCTGCGTGATGTTCTCCCGACACAGCACGTCAATGCAAGCTCGATACTTTGGCTGAATCTAGGTCCATGGCTGTTTCGCTGTGTTCTGTCTGCCCTGTTGGTGGGAAGTCGGAACATGGGCGAACATGTGCTGGTCATTTGTGGCCCATCTGCGCCTTCCCCTCCTGTCACTCAATCGTCCACCCCTCTTCCAAAAATGCCGTCCCCCAGTAAAACGCGACCGCGGCACACTGCCTGCCAAAATTATGGAAAACACGGCACAATACCCACAGGCGGCACACGTGGCGCGGCACGTGCACGCCACGTGACCGGCCGCGGAGGCTCGATAATCGCGCGCGTTTCCATGGTTTCCCCGCGCCGGCACGTGGCCGTCGTGCGCGCGCGCCGCCACCGCCACGCGGCACGATCAAAGGGTCGGGCGGTGCGATCAAAGCCAGCGTCAGGGCGCGCGCTAGAACTGCCCGATAATGGAACTGCGGCTACCGGACTACGTGCGCACAGCCCGATGAAATCTAAATTATGGAAACGAACGCAGTCAGGTCGATCACAGCAACTGGCGACGCGCTAGGGGTCCCAGGGGCCGGCGTCATTTGCATAGAAATCAGCGATTGTGTCGAAATGCTCCGGATACGGTTTTTGTGTCACTGTCAGCCACTGGTAGTGCGGCCGTGTCGTCAGACCGAGATCTCCACTCCTGCACCGGCAGCAAAAGCGTGTCACGACAGTGAAGAAACGCGTTATCGGGGGCGGGCGTGGGGGAGGGGAGGGATCATGGAAGGTCAGTGATTTTTTGTCTGCTTTAGTGCCGTTTCACACTGTTCAAACACAAATATAAGCTGTTCCCGGGATGTACCGGGGCCCAAGCCTCACAAACCCCAGTGGTGGATGCACGCCATGTCGGTTGGCGGGGACGGCCCGGGTGCGTGTCGGTGGCCGGTCATCGGACGCCACACCGTCGTTTCGGCATGCGAGGGTTCTGCCCGATTAGGATCCTGGGCCCACTCGCTGACAAAAGGACACCGGCTTGTGAAGTCCGGTCAGGGCAGTCGGGCCACCGTCCAGCAACCCGTACTCAACGATGCAGGACGCGGCAAAACCAGCAGGGGAACGAGACAACCGGCGGGAACGGAGGGCCGACGCTCACGCCCGAGTGCCCTGCAATGGATGGGGTGGTTGAGTTTACGCTGAGCCGAGCGGACAACTCTGGCCACGGGCAGGTGCAGTTACCACCTCCCCTCCCCACCAAATAACCCCTGTCACGCACAATGGCACGGTTCGTGGGGCGCGGGAACGCGCTTCCTTCGCGCTGTGGTGACTGAAAGGAATGCGCTGGTCGATTGCTGATTGAGCGGAGGGTGGTCGACGGCAGGCTATTTGTGGTTTGCATTAAAATCCCAGTGTATCTGAGACCTGATTGTTGATGGCGCGGCAAGCTATCGAACAGCGGGAAAAGCCGCGAGGTTTGAGGCGGTCACTGGATGCAGTCTCGTAAGCGTACATCATGACGCATCACGCCAAAGGTATTGTTTCGTGCCGCATGGCTTTGTCTGTGACCGAATCCCTCTCTGACTGGATTTTTATTTTCACACACGACCCAATATTCCTTCTTCTCTCACCCTATGTCTCGGCGGTCGGGGACACGGAATGCGCTTTATTAAACATTTAATTAAATCGCTGCGCAGCTGATAGCGATTTCATGGTCTTCAGCGCGAATGCCGAACCATTAATTACAGCCTCCATTCAGCGTGCGCACAGCATGCAGATATAACCGGATATTGAGCCCATACAAAGGCAGCAGCGATTCAATTTGCTAATATGCCGCCGCAGTTGTTGGTGGTGATTATGCAAATCCAGCCGTTTGAACCGAGGCGAGAGATGTGCGTGTGACGAAAACCTTCGGCAGGCGATTTTGCCGGTGCATTAGCGGGCCTTTGAAGGACGAGGCGGAGCCCCGGAGAGTGGATCACGATAGTTCTTGTGAGCGAATAGACGATGAGTGGGTTGGTGCGTTCTCATGGTGGCATGTGCACACTCCAAACATCCGTGCACTAGCATTGCTCCGTTTTTGCGCCTTGCTCGGACTTACTCAACGCTGAGGGGAAGTACTTACTTCCAAAACCATTGGGTGCACGCACAAGCATGAAAACAGGCAGTTTGTTGCTGCTTTGCCTCTTTTATTGGTGACTCACAGAAGTGACACCAATGTGTCAAAAATGTACTGCTGAAAGTTAGTCTAAATGTTCCCCAATCAAGCTATGCAAATTGAATGAAATTGAATCGGGCATCTTCTCCAATAATTCTGACCATGCTAAACCAAGTCATGAATTTTATCTACGCATAGATGTGACAAACTACTAGCGCTGTCTCTTCCAAATTTACGTTTATTTCCTTGGTGCTCAACACTTTCCCGTTTAGTCGAGCACATTTCTGCCTCAGCATGATAGCAGGAGATGATTATTTATATCCCAAAGTGTTCATTTTGGCACCGACGTCGCTCAACTTCAAACAATCAATACAAAATGCAGTACAGCAGCAATTACCGCAAACCATAAACAAAATTAAAATGTCAGCCGTTCTAAACTAATTTGAACGACACTGGAATAACGTATCAGCATAGACAGCAGACGCTGTAGATGCAGAGCTGTAGAATTATTTCACCTCGTTCCTCTGCCATCTCACTAGTCCTAAAATTTTCCATGGCAATGTCTTCCTAAGATTGTCATAAATCTTAAGATTGCCATGGCTCAGAACTGTACCCTGACAAAATGAAACTCTGCCATTCTGGTTGGAACATAAGGTATCATCCTGTGCTCTATTATGACACGTTGGGTTACATCTTCGCACGTTTTAACTGATGTGTTGCCTGTCAAAATGGTTAATGACAGGCGCTTACAACGAGCGCTGTCGGTACTACAAATAAAAATTTTCTGATTCACTGAACGGCCTTTAGACCGTAGGTTACCAGCAAGTGTCCAACGTCTGGTGGGTTGGTTGGCTCGGCTTGTGAATATATTTTTATTTTATCAAGGCAATAGGGCACGACAATCACAGTGAATGCGAGCGTTTTTTTTTATGGGTATGACGAAGCTTCCTTGACAATGTGGCCTGTGTGAAGCCTGATATGAGGGAACCAATCACTGAGCAGCTCGCAAGACAGCTGACATATCTCGGGTGAGCCTGCGGGAAGCAGACAGATTGGCAGACAGCAGTCTGAAAACCTGAAGCGTGCTTTAAATGCTTCATTCTCCCACTTTCCTTTCCCAAGGGGCAGACCATTTCACAAAGGCGCGTGATTCGAAGTCAATTTTTCCTTTAGTGGGGTTGTCTCGAGCTGTGGCACGCTTCGTTGACAGCAGCAGCAGCGCCACCTTTTACCTGTTGAGAGTCACGCTACTGCCAGCACGTCACAGGGCACGTGCCCCTGCTATTGTTCCTGAAGTGCCAACTGGACCAGTCACACACCGGTATCACACTTGCTGAATGTGCGTCTGTCATGAAAGCTATGCGCAGCGTACCCGTCCCCGACATTTTGACGTCCGTTGCTTCCCGTATTAACCGACAACATGTTGCTAAAATGCTAAAACGCTAAAATGCTGCTTGCTAATTTTAATTAGCGTCTTGAGCATCTCATGGGTGACTTTAAGATGGAGTGGCTCGTGCAGGAAGTAGTTTAATTCACTCATTCATGGGGTGACTTAGATTTCAAAAACTGCGAATACTCAAGAGAAAAACAGCTCTCCTTGACTTTGTATGGAGACGATGGAATAAATGTTCAGAGTTCAGAAGAAAATTTTTGTGGGGTAAAAAATCTGTTTCGTTGAGGAAATGATCCAGCAAGCTAAAGAGAGGTAGAACTGATGTCTAAATGCATGTATCTGGGATATTTGGGAACGCCTCACAAAACATTACATCTACATTTAAAACGACGGTGTTGGGAACTGAGCCTCACACTTTCCACAATGACATTTAATATTCTACCAAGCGATGCTTACGACAAGGTTATAAGTGATTTGTCGTTTAGTGCTTCATTACAAATGATCCTTCATAGGGGCGGGGCGGAAGCTATGGCATAAACAAAATGTAAGGTATTGAAAAAGACTCCATCATGTCAAACATACATGAGATTTCCTCCGGTGAGCAACAGCGTCCATTCTCCAGTCATTTGCAAGCGTGATTTCGCGCAATACAGAAGATCAAACTAAAAACTCAAGGTTGCAATGCTGCATGTCCTGCCACTTCGCATGACGACAGCAAAAAAGCATGCATCCCTCCGTTTGTCGAGACGTGTTACAGCTCCTGACCAGTAATTTCAAGTGTTGCTAGACCTCAATAGCAATCCGTATAGGTGGCGCCACCAACTGCTGAGCAAACGAGGTCCATGCAACATTGCATCGAGTGATGACTGATCAACCAAAGGCAGTTTTCGCGCGCAAGGTAGTGCAACATACCAACAGTGTGCAACAAACTGAGTGTTTTTTGAAGAATATTCCAACAGCATTTGCAGCACATTCTTGAATCCCCCATTCCGAACGGGAGCCGGCGGTCTTGCTGCCGGCCGCCGCCACCGGACCATTGCAATAGCCCGGCCGGCGCACCTGCAAGTCGTCCCGCCGCCGTCGGGCAGTCAGCTGGTATCGATCGATGACGTCCTCACTCGTGATCACGTGGACCAGAAAGCACCGCCCCTCACCCGATCGTCAGAAGAGCATCCCCGGGCAATTTTCATATTGCTGTAATGCCCGAATTCCCCCAAACCGATCAGGACGTTCCCAAAAACTTACCTTTCTGCCCTAAAATGATGTGATCTCAGGAGCTCCGAGCAATA